TGGTTCCCGCTTCAATTCTGGGCCAGGAAAAGCTCAGTCTGGGGCCTGTGTTATGGGAGGTTAACCCTCCTTATGGAGACTGAGAGAGGAAGGGGCAGGGGAAGAACGGAGGGAGGGGGGAGGCCTAGGGTTCAGATCTCGGAAAGGACACACTGGGGGGCGGAATCTCACACACCCCGCCTCCCCGCGTTCCCCCCCCCCCCCCAACCCCCGCCCCAGCCAGCAGCCCAGCACGGGCTGAGGGCAGGGAGCCGCCTGCGTTCAAATGCCAGCCTTCCCTTCCCCGCTGTGTGACTGTGGGCAAGCTTCTTCCCTCTCTGTGCCTCGGCTTATCCATAAACAGAGACTACATTGAAGCACCTGGATTCCTGAGCAGAAAGAGGAGAGGCGGCGGCTGAGGCAGGAGGAGACCCCTGGGCATGTGTCCAGGTTTGGGACAAGCAGGGCTGTCCCCGCTGGAGCAGGGCCCTCATGGTAGCGGTGGCGCCAACAGCTACCACTTCTCGAGCAGCTTTGACGCACCAGGCACGAAGCCCAGCCTCAGGCCTGGCCCGGCCCCCCGAGCCTGTGGCAGGAGGGAACCCCCAGCAGAGGAGATAAGCCCACATGGCGTCTCCCCTGCGCTGGGCTCTGCAGGAACTGGGCCGGTTCAGTGAGAGCAGAGGGAGTCAGGGAGGCCTCCCTGAGGAGGTGACGTCTGGTGAGAAGATGGAAAGGACCAGACGGCCGGAGAGGGGAAAGCTCGAGGCTGAAGGCTGCGTGTTCGGGGGCAGGCCACGGTGCGACGGGGCCTCAGAGCGCTGGTCCTGCCCGCCACCCTCCCCCGCTCCCTCTGTCCGGGGCTGTCCTTTCCCGGGCTGGGCCCTCCCAGGCTGCCCACCCCAAGCCCGAGGCCTCGTGGCGCAGCGGGGAAAGTGGCCAGGAGGAGCGGCCAGCGGCTGTCTCACGATCATTGCAGCCCACGGTCCGCGGACGCGCTAGCTAGTACAGACTTTCACTTGACCCGCCTGAGATCCAGCAACCACCTGCTCTGGGCGGAGGTGGGTGCACAGCTGGCGTGACTGGCCCAGCGGCCGCCCCAAAGGAGAGGCCAGGCCTCCGGGCGGGACTGAGCCAGGTGGAGGCCAGAGGACGCAGGGTGGAGCCAGGTGCCATCCGGCTGCTTCTGCCCACTCGGCGGGGCCGGTCCCGGAGCACCTCCAGGTCCCTCCGGTGCCGGGCAGCCAGGTGCTGCGCAGGGGCGCAGGGCAAGGATGGGGAAGGAGGGTCACCACTGGAGCCGGGAGGAAGGTCCGCGCGATTCTGCAGCGACCAAGAGCCTGAGGCAGTGGGTGGCTCTGGAGGTCCTGGGTCTGCGTTAAGTGAGGGACGAGGCCACCAGGCTCCCTGAAGTGAGGGTGCACTGCCCGGCACACCCACCGGGATGTTCCACGGCCTCTGGTGTCTGCGGAGCAGGTGTTCAGGTTCGCTCCCGGGGAAGGAGGGGCCTCCAACGGCCGAGCGAGTGCTATGGCTCCCGCTCCAGGGCGAGTCGTGTCGCGGCGACAGCCCCGGCAGCTTGGTGCCGGCCACACTCATGGGACCTGATGGCTCGCCCAGCCGGGCAGGAACCTCGCACGTCATGTCCACCCGCCCGGCCAGCTCCCCGTGATCTGCAGGCCCGGCTCTCGGGGACCTTGCTGCCTGTCAGCCCCTCCCTGTCAGGTGCCGCTGTGGCACCGAGGAGGAGGGATCGCCCACCGGGCCCAGGGTGGGGTTGGCTGCCTCAGGCTCAGTTGCCAGACGAGGCAAAAAAAACCCCAGGGACCGTTCAGTTATATGTAACTTCACACAAACAACTGACAATTTTTGGTATGAATAAGTCCCATGCAATATTTGGGACACACTTGCAGGAAACACGATCTGTGTTTGTCTGCAGCTCAGATCTAGCTGGGTGGCCTGTGTTTTACCTGGCAGGGTGGAGCCTCTCCTGGGGTGCCCCCTGGAAAGGGTTAAGAATCCAGGTTGCCGGGGGCAGGCATCGGGTTAAGAGATGCATTTCAGGGATGCGTTCCTCCAGCCTCAGGATGGCACACGCCTCACCCAGGTGACACACATGTTTCCATTTCTGAGATGAGGAAAACGAAGCTTCCTCGTGGCTAAACAGTGCTGACCATTATGGAAGGAGCTGGGGGTGTCCACGGGTGGCCCCAAGGCTGGATGAGGCCCACAGATGTGTGCCATTTGCCTTGCACAGGATTGTAAAAAGTGCCAACCTGAGGCCTTCCCTGCTATCTGCTCCACTAAGGCCCTGGGGGGCAGACCCTCCCCAGGCCTCTCCACCCCCCCTTCACGCCCCAGTGGGAATTCTGGCCTGTGGGCATCCAGCGTTTCCAGCCCCAGCACCAGGGGAGGGCCTGGGCCTGGCGGGGGGGGGGGGGGGGGGGGGCGGCCCCGGGGGGGGGGGGGGGGGGGGGGGGGGGGGGGGGCACGCCTCTCTTGAGACGCTGCGGCCCTGGGCAGTTAAGAGCCCCTGCAGCCCTGCCTTTCTCACCTGGAAAGAAATGCTACTACTGGAATTTCCCCCAGGGCGGTTTCAAGGACTAAGATGTGATAACGTGCACTGCACAGTGCCTAGCCCGCATGGACCTCCCGTGGGGTCCCTGGGGCGCCCCGGTGTCTAGAACAGGCTCTGCCCACGGGCGGGAGCTCGGCACACGCTTACAAAAGAATGGAAAACGAGCAGCAGAAATGCCCACGAAACGCTGGCGGTATTCCTCCTCCCACTGCTCCTGGCTGTCTGTCCCACCCTCCACACCTGCTGGCTTGTTCATAAATAAATGCGAACCTAACGGCCCGCACCCCACCTGTTCAGGGAAGCAGGGGCGCGGCACCCAGAGCCGCCCTGCGTCTTTGGAACCGGCAGCTTCTCCGAGCTTTCTGAGGTGGGGCCTCTCCCTGCACTGCAGACCTCCAGAAGGGTCCTCTAGGTGCTGCCCCTTTGTCCTCTAGACAGAGGCCCCAGAAACGCCTCTTTCCTTCTCCAAGGCCCGACATCGCAGCCAGGCTCCCAGCAGAGCCGTGCAGCCGAGCGGCTCTTTATCTCTAACGGAGGTCCGGGTGCTACGGGCCCGCGGGCTGGGTACCGCCTGCTCCCCGCCTCTCTGTTTCCTGAACCTGAAGTCCACACTCATCAAGCAATGAACAGAAGCTCTTTAGAGGTGGCGGAGGCCCGTTGAGGCTGTGCCGGGCAGCGCGCGGGGATCTGCCTGCGTGGGAGGAGGACAGGCCCCTCTGCTGCTGGGCTGGGGCCTGAGGCCGCTGGGATCTTGGACTTCTGGTCTCCAGAACTGTCAGAGGCTAATTTCCTTTGTTAGGACAGCCCTGGGACACGCGTACAACTCCCTTCCCGGGACAGGACAGGGACATCCCTGATGCTCCACCCCCAGCCCCCACCCTCTGTGGACGGTACGCGATGCTCTTTCTTTATAACCCACGCCACTGCCTGAATTCGTTTATCTCGTGGGGACTAATCCCTCTTGCCTGTTTCTCCCTCCTGCAAAGTGAGCCCCACGCAAGCAAGGACACCACTCGCCCTGTTTGCTGCCGTCTGCCCAGCACCCTCGGCAGATTCTAGCACAAAGTCAGTGCTCAGTGAAAGTTTTTGATCGAAAGGAGGAGCCTGCTGAGTGGGATCTGTGATCGCTCGGAACCAGTTAGACGTCTGGTGTGCAGCGTTCAGGAAAAGCGGGTCCTTAGTCCCAAAGAGAAGAAAATATGATTGATTCTATCAGCCTCCAAGGCTCGGAGCAAGGCCACCTCTTCTGAGAAGCCTCCCCTGATTTCTCCATAGTTAGCTCCATTCATCTCACAACACCACTTTGTGGACACAATCCACTGCCTACACACATGATCCACTGTATATACATGTGATCTACCGCATATACACGCGATCCACTGCAACACACACGATCCACCGCAGGTACACGTGATCTACTGCATATACACATACGATCCACTGCCTACACACATGATCCACTGCATATACACGTGATCCACTGCCTACACACGCGATCCACTGCAGCACACGCACTTAGGTTCTGCTCCCCACCCCTGGCCCTGGGGGCAGCCACCGTCTAACCAGCTCCACATCCCCTATGCCTCACACAGCACCCTGTCCCCACATCTGCTAAGTGAGGAAGGAGCAGGCGGGGCACTTGCTCGTGTTCAGGGGTCACCGTGCCCAAGTTCAACCTTGACCCTGGACCTCAGACAGGAAGTTCCTTGGAGCAATGCTTCCAAAGCTGACCATGGAGAAGGACGTGTGCATGCGTGTGCGAGAGCATGTGTGAGTGTCTGCATTCATGCACAGGCCCCGGTCATACCACACTGCTCTCCCGAAAGGTGTGAAGACACCCTGAGTGAGGCTAGAGGCTGGAGAAACACTGTGGTACAGTCTTCTGGGGGCAATGGGGATGCCCTCCCTCCCGGGTCAGGTCGGGGACCCTGGGTGGGGAGAGGCGGGGGATGGTTCGCCTCCCTGACGGCCCGCCCCATGCGGCGTCACTATCCCCTCCGAGGGACCACCTCCCTAGCTGAGGGCAGCAGGCTTCTAGAAGCCGGACGGAGCAGCTCCTCATGCCAAGGGCCAACTGCAGGGCCCTGTCTGGGCCGGGCAGGCGCCCATCATGGTCCCGGGGAGGGTCCTGGGGCCTTGCTGGATCCTCTGGTACATGGGATGGAGGCCCCAGGTCCGCCTGAGGCCTGCTCTGAGCTCTGGGGGTTCTGGCCCACCTCCCCCATCGCACAACTCCACTGACACGGGTCCCAGAAGACGTATTTACACTGTGCAACTTAAGCCCCGCTGGGCACTGTCCCTGCCAAGCCTCACCCAGGTGGGACCACGTGGCCCAGTGCCTGGAGACACCCTGCTGTGCCTAGTGGGAAAGGTCCTCCTGCTCCGACGGCGGCGGCAGCACCAGCGCCCCCCCGCCCCCCCCCTCCCGCAGCGGCCTCCTCACCTCTCGGTCCAGGCCGGCCGCCACTGTCACGATGTCCCCTGTCTCGCTGTTGATGGTGAACATGTTCTGGGAGGGGCTCTGCGGGGTCTGAGTCATGATTCGGTAGCGCACCATCCCATTGGCCGTGGTGCCATCGTCAGCGTCGCTGGCTGTGACCGTCATCACGTAGGTGCCTGGAACAGAGACGGCAGCCCACGTGGGACTCACCAACCACACCCGCTGCGGGCCCGCACCCGCACCCCAGCAGACATCAGCCAGGACCACGTCTCCCTGGAGGCTGGACGTGGTGTGAGTCCTTCCCCTCCCACGGGCTGGGGGCCTGCCAGGCCCTGGGAAGTGCCCCTGTCCCTCCCAGCCCCACACACTCCTGCAGAACCACTGGCGGGTTTCTTGCCGAGCTCAAGTCTGCTCTGAGGTCATCAGCGGGCAGAGAGATGGAGGCCCTGGATGAGGGGGAGCCGCCTGGGGACAGTGGAGCCAGCGATTCTGGCTCAGAACCCAGCACTCTCCCTCCTGAGCCACACGGCCCAAGGCGCTGGCCGGCAGTGTTTGCCGAGGATCCAGATCCCACGTGGAGGACTGCACGGCCGCGACTCGGCACGCGGTAAAAAAACAGGGCTGGGTGTACAGAGGGGCATTAACAGGCACTTGAGGAAGCTAAGTGAGAAGAGCCCCCTCGGGGGGGGGAGCTGTGCACACGGGGCACAGGGGCAGATGGAGTAGTAAATCCAGGGTGCGCGTGGACACGTGGTCACCTGCACCTCCGAGCCCGGCGGGGTGAGCCGCCCACGCCATTTCCCATCCACACGCCACGGTGGAGGTCCGCAGGGGACGCTCCAGCATGGTGCCCTGGCTCCTGAGAGCGGCACGTGGGGCTCCTACAGGCATCCTCCCTTCCCCACGGCGGGAGGCCCTGGTTGGACAGCACACCCCTCCCCTGGCCACAGTGATCGGGTCCGCGGTGGGCACCTTACCCAGTCAGGGCCTGTGATCAAGGCGGAGGTGCTCGCCAGGGTTACTGGAAAACCAGCGTACTGTCCCTGCTGCTGGCCTTGGCTGGGTCAGCGTGTGAGGTTGGGGCTGTGGTCACTTTGTGCCACAAGGAAGGAAAGTGAAGGACAGGGCCAACCCGGAGGAAACAAAACCAAGAGAGGCTCGGGTGACCACTGCCTACCGGGCAGCCCCTGGGTCAAGCGGCACCTGAAGCTGTTGCCTCTATACTTAAAAAAATTAAGCCTTCTTTTATAAAGCGGTTTTAGGTTCACAGCACAATTGAGGAGAAGGTACCTTACAGACTCTGTACCTGAACCGATATATTCCCCTTCTTGCCTCATGTCATTTCAGTTTGAGTTTTTGTCACTTGCGACCCAGAGTTCTGACTGGCACAGGCGCCCGGCCCTGTGAGTGCCCCTGGAGTCGGGCACGGGGCCCTAGTCCTGAGCTGCGTGTCCTTCGCTCAGCTCTACGTTCCCAGGGCCCACAGGGGTGAGGGAGTGTGGGCACCATCCTCCACTGGGTCCTTTCTTGGGGGGTGCTGGCTTAAGCTGAGACTGAACTGGGCTTGGGGCGTGGCTGTGCAGCTGGGCCTCCAGGCCTATTGGGATCCAAGGTGGGGAGGGGGTGGGTGTTTTAGTCATCAAGCATGCACTGGGCAACCTGCTCTGGGCCAGCGTGGTGCTAGGGACTGGGCAGACAGTGGTGGAGACATTTGCGTGGTCTGCGCAGGGAGCCTTTTCCAAATCCTACCAGTGTTCTGGCTGCGCGGACGTGTGTACAAAGCAGGCCCTCCTGCCTTCCCGCGTCCGACCCCACCGCAAGCAGCGAGGGCCTGACTGGGAATTGGCTTTAGCTTTCAGCTTTTACTGAGTAAAAGCTTCTCAAAGCAAATGCATTTTATACAACAGAAAGGAAAGCAAACAGAGAGAGGAAAGTGGAAATCTGTTTACAGGCCACAGGTTTTCTATTCTCATCCACCAACCAGAGAGGAACGGGCCCAGGACCAGACTTTTCACACTGAAAGGACGGGAAGTCCCAGCCTGGGCGGGGCGGGACGCTGCAGGAAGCGAGGGCCCAGGAGCTCCAGGCCCGCAGCGCCTCCCTCCCCCCACTTGTTCAATCCACAGATTTACATAGTTTTTATCAAAATGTAATTCACGCATCAGAAAATCCACCCTTTTAAAGTGCACAAGTGCAATTGTCAATAGAGTGTATCTAACTCCAGAACATTCTGCCACCCCCAGAGAAAGCTGTATCTGTTAAGAGTCGCTCCCAGGACTTCCCTGGTGGTCCAGTAGGTAGAACTCTACACTCCCAGTGCAGGGGGGCTGGGTTCGATCCCAGGTCGGGGAACTAGATCCTGCATGCCTGCCGCAACTAAGAGTCCGCATGCTGCAACTAAGAAGTCTGCATACCACATGCTGCAACGAGGATCCTGCGTGCCACAACTAAGCATGCATGCATGAATGAAGGAATGAATGAGTTGCTCCCTCCTCCTCCCCAGCCCCCAGCAATGCTCATCTACTTTCTGTCTCCAGATTGGCGTTTTCTGAACACAGCTTATAAATGGAATCATATACTATGCGGCCTTTGTGTCTGGCATCTTTTGAGGAGCCTAACGTTTTCAAGGTTCACTCCTTTTTATGGCTGAATGACATTCCAGTGTGCGGGGATACTCAGCCCACAATTACTGAGTGAGCACTTGCTGTGTGCAGACACCAGGCTCTGTGCTCAGGATGTAGGAAGAGAACAAGCAGACAGACGAGGTCCCACCCTGAACATGCCAGTGAGGAGAGAGAGAACAAACAGGGAGACACAGATCATCGCCAGCTGTGGTAAGTCCTTGGAAGGGGGAAGAACGCTCGCATGAATGAATATGTAGAATAATGAGGTACGTGGGGTGCTACGGAGGAAGCAGGGACGACCTGAGTGATGGGGGTGGTGGGGTAGGGAGGGGACGGGGGGTACTCTGGGCAGGAGGCCAAGGCCCTGGGGCAGAGAAGAGCTCCAAACGTTTGAGGAACCGGGGAAAGGGGGCATGTGATGGGGCTGGAGGTGGGCTGGGCCCACGGCGAGGATTCTGGACTTTATTCTAAGATCGCAGGGCAGCATTTTCATCAGGAGAGCAGGTCAAATCTATGTCCTGAAGACACGCGGGGAACACAGACTGCACGCAGCCAGGAGTGCGGGGGGCAAGGGCTGGTAGCGAGAACGCTAACTCATTCACTGGATTTCATGGAGAACTGGTTGCAATCAGACCAAGATGTTGCAAACCCACTAGGACATTTATTCATTCACTCAACACGTCTTTATTAACTGTCTTCTAGGGGAAAAAATATGGAACTTCAGTGTTTTGAGAACCCCAGGAAAAACATTCATCAAACACACCCACCTAACTTCATGCGATGGCTATTCTTGAACAGTGTGTAAACCCAATTTATTTTATTTTATTTAATTTATTTATTTTTGGCTGCATTGGGTCTTTGTTGCTGTGTGTGGGCTTTCTCTAGTTGCAGCGAGGGGGGGTTACTCTTTGTTGCAGTGCGTGGGCTTTTCATTGCAGTGGCTTCTCTTGTTGCGGAGCATGGGCTCTAGGCATGCGGGCTTCAGTAGTTGTGGCATGTGGTCTCAGTAGTTGTGGCTTGCGGGCTCTAGAGCACAGGCTCAGTAGTTGTGGCGCACGGGCTTAGTTGCTCCATGGCCATGTGGGATCTTCCCGGACCAGGGCTTGAACCCGTGTCCCCTGCATTGGCAGGCGGATTCTTAACCACTGTACCACCAGGGAAGCCCTGTAAACCCAATTTTAATGAATTTAATTATCAGTAGAATTTCCCCAGAGGCATTAAGTATTTGAAAGAAATCCAGGAGGTTCTGTTTTTAGCAAATGGTGGACAATGTTATTTTAAACCGATCTTCCTCCTGAGGAAAACTAGAAAAACCGGACCCAATGTGAAATAAAAACATCTCATTAAGGGCACTATAGAGATACCAATGGCACAGACTCAGGGAGGGCGGGGCGGGCCGGAAAGGAGAACCCGAGACCGGGGGCCATCCTTCCTCTCAAGACATTTGCTGATTCCAGGGACTTCCTGGGCAGTACAGTGGTGAAGACTCCGTGCTCCCAATGGGGCCTGGGTTTGATCCCTGGTTGGGGAACTAAGATCCCGCATGCCACAACTAAAGATCCTGCGTGCGGCCACAAAGATCCCACATGCCGCAACGGCCAAAGACCCGGCACGGCCAAATAAATAAATAAATATTAAAAAAAAAAAGACATTTGCTGATTCCAAATTGGCTTCTGACAGCTGAAGAGCTACATGGAGCTTTCAACAGACTGATGGGAATGGGGGTAAAAACACTGAGCTCAGGGCCTGCCATATGAGGGTGGAGCCTGGAAAATGCTCGAGTCTTTGGGTTGGACCCGGAAGGGCAGCACGCTGGGAGTGAGGGTGAACAGGAAAGGAACCGTCCTAGCCGACGGAGGCACAGCTCTATTAAGGTGACTTAGGCTCTGATATCTGAGGTTACCAGACTCCCCTGTCAGGAGCAAAAGCATATCCTTCATAGAAAAAGGTAACATCTTACCCTCAAGTCACCTCTACAATTTTTCATACACAAGGCACAGTACGTAACGAACCAGGCACACGAGAAGACAAAACCTGACTGAAAACAGAGAGAAAGCACTGACCAGGACGAGACCAGGGGAGATCCCAATAACAGAGTCCTCAGGTGCAGATTAAAAGCAATCAGCCAGAGAAGTCGAAGCGCACCCCCAGATACCCACATGGGACGCCCCGTTCTAGGCCCCCACTACCAGCCCCCACCAAGGCATACCTGAGCCCCCTCTCTACCATGAAGCTCCCCGGTCCTCTGCCTGCCTTCGAGTCTCTGCCTGTGATGGTGGCTGGTGACCCCCCTGCTCTGAACACACAGCCTCTGCTGGTTCCCACTGGCTGGTCTTCATTTATTTCCACATTACTGTTGGAAAAACTGGATGAGGGACTCTCTCTGTCCTTTGTTGCACAAGCACGTGTGGGTCAACAATGGTCTCAAATAAAAAAAAAAAAAGTCCCTGACCTGAGAAGCTCACATCTAGCGGTGCAGATAAACAAGGAGCATAATCAATTAGTACGTGACGCCGAATGTCTGCCAACTGGGTGTTGGCTAAATAAATTGT